CTTTGCTCCATCTCTTTTTTTCATTGCTAACATAAACCTTATACCGTACAAATATATGAGCTCGGAGCAGGAATGCAAGAAGCTCTTCAATAAGGTCATGGCAGATCTGATTATATCCTCAAGTCAACATTCCCACTTACCTGTCATAACCTTTCACTCCATTGCTATACAAAAAGGCTCTGCTTTAAAAATATTTAAGGACTGTGCTCCCATCACCTTTGCAGAAAGTGCTCCAAAGACTCATGACCCTCGGAGAGACAGAAACTCACCTCAGCTCTGTGATAAATGAGCAACCCTTGATTTTTAAACTGTAAAAGACACTGTCACTGTTGCCTCAATGTTCCCCCACTGACAGTGGTCAGCTTGTCCTACTTCATTCTGCAGACCCAGAGCCAGAAATGCCTCCCTCCCTTGGAGGGCCATGTAGTATATTTAAAGTTGTATATTTGCAGCCCTGCCCAGAAACAGATTCCCTCACAGCACCCATTGCTCCATGATGACACTGACACTTGGAAGGCTCATTGGGAGCCTGGGAACTGAATGTCGGCATAGCTGCTTCAGATTCAAGTTCAGATTCAGGTTTATCACAATTGAGAACTCTACCCCGGTCAAAACAAATACAGTTTCAGTAAAAAAAATTCTGGAAAGTGATTTGAATGGGGAAATTGTTTTGTTCCTCCCTAACACAGGGAGACTGGCTAATGTTAGTGCCTGAAGCAGTTGAAATCATCTGTGGTAAACTGGAATTCTCAGGGCCCCATATACCTTTGTGCTACACAAGTTGCAATCGATGACCTAGGCCATAGATAGTGGAGAGGATTTCTGGTGTGATCCCAATAAACTATAAGGAATGAGTAGCCAAGCGGCTTCTAGAGTATTATTTCTGTAGATGCCTTTTTAAAGTTATTTTTCTGTAGAAGTTGAATGCTTAGATGCTTTCCAGTGGAGAAGACGGATCAACGTTGGAAAGAGTGGGTAGTAGACTATAGGGCCCTATGAGCCTGTTCTGGTATTCCATGTAACCATGGCTAAACTTGTGCCCACTCACCACTGACTGAGTGACATGGTTTTTAGTCTCTGGCGCTGGCAGTGTCAGAGTGGACAGTATCAGGAGGGCAGTGGGAATTATTCCTTTTCACCCGGTTAGCCATTTTTACTCGTGGGCCTTTTCCTCCCTTCACCTGGCAGAGCCTAGATCAGGAAATGTGACAAAAAGCAGTGTTCTGGCATAATGCCAGGGCACAGTGCTGCCTGAGCAAAGAGCATTTAACTGGTGATGAATAATTCCTAACTCTAACCATGTGTGCAGGATCATACAGCTGGTTTGAGGATGCACACATAGATTGTGTTGGCTGGCTGCAAATTCAGCTACAGTTCAGACTAAGGGTTCTGTTGTTCACTTGTAATCAGTACATTTAAAATAAAACTCAATTCTGGATTGATGAAAATCTCCACACGTAGTTTCTAACATTTTCCCCATTGATCACATCTTTTCCTCGTCCTCCCCCTGCTCCAGCTGTGGCAGGCCTGGGTTACACATTTTTCCACTTCTCATCAGTGACTGTTTCCATGACTCTTTGGCAGGAAGTGTGAATTGAGTGATGCTAGCCAGATGTATGAATCCGTCTCCCTCTCTCCTCCCTACACCCCCCACCCCAAAAATAACCATGCTTCCCAAAAAGGGAACCCCTTACTTCAACACAGCACTCCATCTAGTGGCTGAGATGAGAACTGATGGTTTACCCTAAATCATGACAGGTGTCACTTGCATTAAAATGCACAGCCTGACATAATCTGGATGTGAACCTCAAGCACTTTCTAGCTATGTTTAGTTAAAATGCATGATCTTACTTCAACTTCACAGTCTCCATTAAGGTTCACATTCTCCACTAAAGGCTAATGTTTTCCTTTCAAATTGCATCCCTCATTCACAGAAGGTCATACTCCCACTAGGATAGTGTTCCTGAAGGTGCTAACTCTTGCTGGGATACAGTTCCGGCTGACTGTCACTGGGATACAGTTCCTGAAGGTGCTAACTCTCGCTGGGATATAGTTCCCAAAGGTGCTGACTCTCACTGGGATGCAGTTCCTAAAGGGGCTGACACTCACTGGGTACAGTTTCTGCTATGTCCAAACCATTCTGTGAAGTTAATACCAGTACTGTCATCGAGAGTAACCAGAACAATGCCTCTCGCATTGTGAAATGGCCTAAATTGTTTCACAGAACATTATCAAATAAAATTTGATCCAAGCCACAATTTTAGGTCCGATGACTAAAAACAAATCAAAGAGCTATATTTTGAGGGGGCTGTTTGGTTGTGAGGTTGGAGTGGCTGCAGAGATAAGGAGTAACATAGCCTTGTAATAATATTTTAAAGCAGTTACTCTCAACTACTTGAAGCTTACCAGTGCGAACATGAAATAACTTAAAGACCAAAATGCTGCAAATAATTGAAAAATGAAATGTAAACAAAATGCTGGCACATATGTGGAGAGAGAAAGATTCTGACTATCCACTCCTGTCATTTTGTAAAATGTGAAACTCTTTATATAAGCAGTTATGGTTATTCATTTGAAGAATAAGCACTGAAACCAGAGTGACTATTGCTGGTGAATTTTGGTGTGAATTTATAGGTTTTTAACTGGCTGGGTCATCTTAAAATGAGTCAATCAAATACAACCTTCTCAGTAAAGGTTTGTGAGAATTGAGTCATGCGGTCTCAGACACACCAGAGATTAATCAGTCAAAATTCACAATTGGATGAGAAACAGTATTTTGAGGGAAGTTAAGCAAGGGTAGTGAGGTAGGATGAAAAGCAGTCCTTTCATGACCTCAGGATGTTCCAAGATGATTTACAGTCGGTGTAATCACTGTGTTGGAATGTAGGGAATTGTGAAAATCTGTTTGTGAATAGCAAGGTCTGACAGCCACAGTGAGATCACATGCCCAATACAGCAACTTAGAGTGGAGTGGATTGACCAGGATATTTACTACTTATTTAAATATTGCCTTGGCATCTTGTGGCTGAAAAGGCATATGAGACTTTCTTAAGGCCTCATCTGGAAGAAAGTACCTCTGACAGTGTAGCACTCCCTCAATAATGGGAATGCCAGCTGGGATTTTGGGCTCAAGTCTCTGAAATGGGGCATGAACCCACATACTGCTATCTCAGATGAAAATGCTACCCACTAATTGAAGAACGATAACAGACTGAAAAGGTAGGGCTGTCTTGGCTGACAAAATAGCAAAACTGGCTAGGTAAGTTGAATGGCCAAATCCTGCTGTTGCTAATTATAGTGACTCTTGTCGAACTAAATAGTGTTGCACCGTAGTATTTTCAGAATGGGCAGCCCCTTTAAAAATGCTCTTGTGCAGCACCTCCAATGAATTATTGACAAGGGAATTAGATACTTTATTATTTTGAACGCATTAGAACGAGCAAACTTGAACAACATTTCAAAACATTGAAACTGCAAACAACAGCGTGCCAAAGGAGACCACAAAGTGAATGGGTACAGTGGAGTGTGATATATAGTACGTATGCAGTCCAAGAATTTCAAACACTGCAACATTGAGAACTAAGTAGCATTTCAAAGGACACTTCCCTTTTAAAGAGTCCACTATGTCTGCTAAAGTATGACCAGGATTCTTAGTGCCAAGCAGCAGTGAAATAAATTGACAGAAACTTCCATTCCTAGTCTCCTACCACAGAATGATGACAAAAATTAGATTAGAGGAATAACGCTAATCTGACATTAATAGCTGCAGGCAGTCACAAGGTTACAATCGTGACTTAAAGCTGAAGACAGTGATTGTACTTGGAGACAGTATTCTCGTGTCATAGACGGCTTCTTCTTAAGATACTTCAGCAGAACCCATGCCTTACCAGGCTGCCAGCCAGAGGTTAACTTGTTATTAAATAAATAGCTTAATGTCCTCTTTTTCTGAACGTGCTGACTCTCACTGGGATACAGTTCCTGAGGGCGCTGACTCTTGCTGGGATACAGTTCCTGAAGGGGCTGACCCTCACTGGGATACAGTTCCTGAAGGTGCTGACCCTCACTG